GGGGGGGGGGGTGCGGTAGAAACTAAAGAACCTCCTCGCCTGACTGCAGCCCACTTACCACCCCGGCATTCGGTAACCGGTCGGCATGCGGTCTCCCTGTTGGGGTGGTTCATGAAGGTGTCAGACGGGCAGCGATCGCACTGTGTGGCATGGTTCACGTCGCAGTGTGCACTGACGTACGAGCCTGTGGGAGGGGTGGGACAGAGGTGAGGTGGGGGTCCAGGGCTCAGACCCAGTCTGGTTCCTGAAGCCTCTGCTCGAGGAGGTCGCGTGCACCTGGCATCCAGGCCCCCTCACAGTACCAACCCTCACCTCCTGACTCCTTGGAACATTCTGGACTGAAACCCAGCTACGTATGTCCCAGGAACTGGGGACCTGGCTTACCTCTCAGCTTTTACTGACATCCCACTCCCACTCCCACGGGAGCTACCTGGCCTGGCGCCTGCCCCTGGGGCTGGAGCAACATGCACTTTGCATGTAGACTGCTCGCAGGATTTCATGTCGGACCATGTGTCTCATTCATTCCTAACTGTGATGTGTGCACATAGATACGTGCATGCGTGGATGTGTGTATGTATGTATGGGTGTGAGTACAGGTATGTACAGGTGTATCCAGGCGTGTGTGAGGTGTGTATGCAAGTATGAGTGCAGCTGTGTCCCTGAGCTGGGAGCCCCTTGAAGGTTCAGGCTCATGGCTAAAAGGAGGCATGTGTGGGGTGGGGGTGGGGGTTGGATGGAGATGGGTGCAGGTGTGTGGTTGGCCCCTTCAAAGAGGAGACCCCTAAAGTAAGCTCACTGATAAGGTGTGCACACCTGTCTGTGTGTAGATGGGGGTGCAGGTGTGGGGGCAGCGGGCCTGTGACCAGGTCCCACAGAAGGTCAGGTGTCTGGCAGTGCCTGGCCATGAGGGGATGTGGTAGGAGTGTGGGCAGAGCAGGCCCTTGGACCCGTGGCTCCCCGGCGGCTTTATGGGGCTCATTCAGAGCCTCTTCATTAGAGTGACTAAGCCTCCGTGGACTTGCTGGTCTTGAGGGCAGGAGCTTCCATCCTCGGGTGCCCATCATCACTGCCCTGACGGTAGGGTCAGCGGGAGCGTCCCACCTGGGCGCCAACCCCACTTCTGTCCTCCACGCCCCGCTGAATGTCCCTTGCCCACGTCAGAGTAGGAGGGTGCAGAGGCAGGGAGGGAGGCGAGCAATGGGTGGGAGGGTAACTGCGGAGAGGTCCACCCGGAAGGTGCTCCCCGCCCCGCCAGGGTGGCCTGCAGCTCTGAGCCCCCTCCCAGGTCAGGTCCGCGAAGGCTCGGGAGACGTCCTGACACTCACCAGCTGGACACATTTTACAGCAGAGGCTGCCCAGCACGTAATAGCCGGGGTCACACTGCTTCACAATGGCTACCTGAGGCACCTGCAATCAGAAAGTGAGATGGCTTCACCCAGAGAGGCCTCTGCACAGACACCTGCGGGCGGAGGTGGACGGCGACCCGCCCAGTGCTGCGCAGCTCGAGGGGTGGACTTCCCTGGGGGTGCACACCGGGAACACTGCCTCACACGGCTGTGACCTTGGACTGGCTATATGGACCAGCTGTTACGGGGGGACGTCTTTAGTTCCCAGAGCATGTGGTTTAGCCAGTGTCTCTGGCGTGGTCAGCGCCTCTCCCTGCATGGTCCGATTCAGGACCGGCGCGGCGGGGACCCTTGGACCCGAGTCTCTGCTCTAGAAGCAGTTCATCGTCCCAGCAGCTGCTCCTGTACTTGTCCCCGCAATGCTTTCTAGCCCGAGTCCCCTGGTACCGCTGTGAGAATGGCACTCGCGCCGTCCTTAGGAGATGTGCCCACCTGCCACCTGCCTCCCCCTTTCCTTTCCCACCTGCATTACTCCCTCTGACCTGTGTCCCTCCTTTGAGACTTTTCTCTTAAAAGCAGCCCATGGCTAGATTTTGCCTCCAAATTCAGCCTGATAACTCACGAGCCTCCTTCCCCTGTAATTCGCCGATTTAGTACCTCCGTCCCCTCTGATCCCCTTTTCCCGGCCCTGTTCCCTGTCCCTGCAGACCCTCTCCCCCTCTTCACCGCAAATCCAAATAGATCCTAAAGATAGTTCTCACTGGTTCGTGTTGCACTTCTGGTTGCGGAAAATGAAGAAAAAAGTAACAGGGATGCTAGGAACCTGGGCAGGCGGCCTGGTCACCGCAGTGGGCGCAGGCCCCTGAGGTCTGAGAGAGCACAGGAGTGGCGCCCCGGCCTCCAGCCACCCAGGGACTCACCCCCAAGCCCAGGCCTCACCCCAGGCCCACCTGGCCACCCTGAAGTCTCCTTTCAAGCCTCAGCTCCACCCAGCGCCGCCCATTCCCCCAGCTCCTCTCCTGCTTAGAGAAGCTCCGTGCTCCACCTTCTCACCCTGCCCGAAGCCGAGCCTGGGACGGTTGCCACGTCTCCCAGCTACACGGCTTCTGGAACCCCGAGAATGTGACCTCCCTGGCCCAGCATGAAGGAAAATCAAGATAAATACTATGTAATGCAAATATTTTTTAAAAATCAAATTGGGCCCCGCCAGTGTGGCTCAGTGGGTGGGTGTGGACCCGGGCACCTAGGGGTCTCTTGTTCGATTCCCGGTCAGGGCACAGGCCCGGGTTGTGGGCTTGATTCCCGGTCAGGGCACAGGCCCGGGCTGTGGGCTCGATTCCCGATCAGGGCACAGGCCCGGGCTGTGGGCTCGATTCCCGGTCAGGGCACAGGCCCGGGTTGTGGGCTTGATTCCCGGTCAGGGCACAGGCCCGGGCTGTGGGCTTGATTCCTGCTCAGGGCACAGGCCGGGGCTGTGGGTTCGATCCCCAGTCAGCGCACAGGCTGGGGCTGTGGGCTCGATTCCCGGTCGGGGCACAGGCCGGGGCTGTGGGCTTGATTCCCAGTCAGGGCACAGGCCCGGGTTGTGGGCTTGATTCCTGCTCAGGGCACAGGCCGGGGCTGTGGGTTCGATCCCCAGTCAGGGCACAGGCCGGGGCTGTGGGTTCGATTCCCGGTCAGGGGCACAGGCCCAAGCTGTGGGCTCGATCCCCGGTCAGGGGCACAGACCTGGGCTGTGGGCTCGATCCCCGGTCAGGGGCGTGCAGGGGGCAGCCTTTGGATGCTCCCCTCTCACACGTCTCTCTGTCTCCCTTTCTCTAAAAATCAGTAAAAAATGTATTTTAAAAAGAGAAAGAAAAGATCAGAGAGATGCAGATTAAAACCACAATGAGGTATCACTTCCCACCTGTCAGAATGGCTCCATCAACAAATCAACAAAAGACATGTGCTGGTGAGGATGTGGAGAAAGGGGAACCACAGTGCACTGCTGGTGGGAATGCAGACTGGGGCAGCCACTATGGAAAGCAGGGTGGAGGTTCCTCAAAAGATTAAAAATGGAGCTGCCTTTTGACCCAGTGATTCCACTCCTAGAAATGTATCCTAAGAATCCTGAAACATTAATCAGGAAGAATATATGCACCCCGATGTTCATAGCAGCGCAGTTTACAGTAGCTAAGAGCTAGAAACAGCCCCAGTGCCCATCAGTAGATGAGTGGATAAAAATCTGTGGGACATTCACACCATGGANGTAGCTAAGAGCTGGAAACAGCCCCAGTGCCCATCAGTAGATAAGTGGATAAAAATCTGTGGGACATTCACACCATGGATACTACGCAGCTGTAAAGAAGAAGAATCTCATACCCTTCGGAACAGTATGGATGGTCCTAGAGAATATTATGCTGAGTGAAATAAGCCAGGCAGAGAAAGACAAACATCACATGATCTCACTTATACGTGGAATCTAAAGAACTTAATAAACTGATG